CAGGAAGTCAACGCCTTGGTCAGGACCCTCGGCCTGGACGATGACCCCTTCTCAGAATAAATGATACTCCCCAAAAATCTTTTCTTTCTAAAACTTCTTCTTGTGACATTTCAAGTCTAAATCTTTTCTTTATAGAACATAATGTACATGCTCATATTGGTGTCCTTAAATGTAAAGCATGGCTAAGAATGAAATAAACATATAAACATATTTCTAAAGATTCTTTCTTCTTCATAATTTTCAACATGAAAATAGCATATAAGAATAACACAAAAATCTGAAAATTTAAGCACATATAGCATAATAGATCATCTAAACTTTTGCTAGAACAATTCTAAATTAATGGGTATTCACTCGCTCTAATTAAATAAAGATAAACTCTTTTAATCAATTCATCAAACACCTTGTACGCGTGCTTTTTGTGAATTAAACCACTTCAGTAAAGGGTTATATCAACTCACCTCAAAACTTCTCGAGCCAATACGTAGGCCCTAGTCCAATTGACACCAGTCAAACAATCGATTGTACAACAACGAGTGCATTTTAATTAATTTTAAAGTACTACACCTAAATATAAAATTTATTGTTGATATAGAGGAAGAAGTGACTTAACTATTCAATTCTTACATATTACTACTTTAGGATAATTGACAATAGGGAATTTTATATACCTGAATTCAAGAATAAGTGATTTGTAAAGAACCCTAGATTTTTCGTGCGTGACTTGTTCGCTGCTTCTGTTTCTTATTTCCCAGCGTATGCGTGAAGAGAACAGTGTTCTGTTCTCTTTAATCCTTAAAGACCCCTTTTTAATTCTTTTGCCTTAAAGGTTAAGGCTTAGTCACGTGCTTCCTTATTCTTTTTGTTTTCCCCCCTTTTTTTTTTTACTTAACTAATATCTTATTATACTTACTTTTAACCATTAATAATATTAAAATTATTAATATTTCTCTAATTGTATATCTAATTTTATATATATATATATATATATATATGTATGTATTTCACTATATGCAAAAATAAAAATAACAGTAATAATAATAAATTAGTTTTATAATCAGCCTATCTTGAAACTTTTATAACTTTGATGAGTGTTACAAATATTCTATCAATTTTCTAAGAAATCTTATGCTCCACGAAAGCAAGAAAAGAAGGAAATTACAATTTCACCAACCACTTTGGGCATAATCATCCAACTTCTTTCTTCAATCCAAATAAAGGATATCTTCTCTTCCCTGGAAAAAAAAAAAAAAACTTATTTCACAGGTCTTGCGCTAAGTTTGACTAATATAACTCAAGAGATAATATTAAAAAATTGAAAACATTAATAATATTATTTATCTCTTGTAAAACAAAAAGAACCAGGCATGCTAGGAGCAGGGGAGTTAGGTGGGCGGAAGGGGAGGTCAGCTGAAGCCCTTCACCCGAAAATTATATTGTGTACATAAGGTCAATTTTTTTTATGCTAATCCCCTTAGTCTTTTTTGCATGTTTACTTTTTCTATTTTTAAAATCCCCTTGGTTGAAAATTCTGTTTTCGCCACTGGTCAGAAGAGATACTGAATCTCATTCTCTTTTCCCTGGGAAAAACTTGTCTGATCGTGTAAGGCCTAGCTAGTCGATAACTGTTAGAAATCTTGTGATCTTTAACACGGGACAAAACCATTATATGTTCAAAGTTTTACTTCTTAAGAACAAGTTATACATGGACTATAAAGGTGGGGACATGCATCCCACATGACCTATCTACTCACATGCTGCAAAATATAATTCCCCCTTTTCTTGTGACCATCCAGTGGCGAAGCTAGGAATTTTCCCAAGGATATTAAAACTTGAAAGAAGTGAAAAAAATTCCCGACAAATGGTGTTAAATATGTGTTATAGACCTGTAAAACGTAATATTTTACCTATATACACAGTAGTTATGTGGCTTCGCTGCTGGGACCACCACAGTAAAATTCTGCGGTTACATCTTCAAAGTATTTAACTCTAATGAGGTTTAAAATATGACGATGTCCTAATCGGAAGTAGCTGGTAATACAGAATGTTCACACGAATAATATATATACACGCTCGTGCAAAACAGATTGAAAGGATCTAAAACATGTTTTATTTCTGATCTTTTAATGGTTGAAATAAAAGATGCTTGATCTTTTATTTTGAGGATTAAGGTTGTAGGTTAATAGTTAGTTGTGCGAGTTTCCGGACTTTTTTAGTGTTATTTGTGCTAGTCTCGTATTCTAATAATGCAGATTTCTATCACTATATGTTTTTCCTTTGGCCTTGTTTTCTTTTGTCTTGTTCTGGTTATTGTTTGTTGCTACTGCTCTTTTCTCATTTTTCCCCGTGCCGAGGATCTACTGGAAACGTCTCTACATTCACTGTAGGGGGTAAGGTTTACGTACTATCTACCCTCCCTAGACCTACTTGTGAGACTATACTGCGTTTGTTATTGTTGTTTAATGCTTGAAATAAGCAACAGCGTAATAAAAATGCTCACAGATAGATAATTTAGTAGTCTCTGGCAAAACATTATTGTACAGAAAACCACAAACTTGGACCTTGTTCTGCATAAAGGATTTTAGTTTTTCTGAAGGAATATAGTGATGTTCACTGCTGCTTGGCGACATGGCGCCAGGCCACTTCTCACAGTCTGAAAAGATCAAGACCAGACTTATCAAGTGGCCTGGAGAAAAACTCAGTGATGTAATCACTTACTAGAAATTCTTTATATACTGCGGGTTTTTCTTCTGATATGAGCTCTTTCATTGGACCATACATCTTTGGAGGTGTAAAAACACCAGTGAAGAAGCATGCCACTGAAATCCTTGGCCCTATCTGATTCGCTAAAACTCTATGGTTCACACTTACGAACTTGTCATTTGATAGAATCTGTAACAAAATCACATTGAGATAAGTGATGAGTAATTCGTAAAAGATGAGGATAAATGAGACGTAAAAGTTGTGTTTTGTTGCAAACCTGAAGAAAGTCACCAATATTAACAACCAAACCTTGTTTAATCGGCTCAACATCGACCCACTGGTTATTATGCACGACTTGGAGGCCACCGCTTTGATCTTGAACCAGAATGGTAAGGAAATCAGGATCTGTGTGCTTGTCGGTACCAATAGTTAGCTCTGGCTGTGGGCATGCCGGGTAGTAATGGCATACCAATGTTTGTCCTTTGGCACATTCCATGGCGTTGAAGTGGTCCGGTTTTAGACCAAGAGCTTCTGATAGTAATTCAAGAAGAGTTTCTCCTAGTTTTCTGACATGATTCATGAACTCAAGGAATGCTTCCCTAGACATTGGCAAAATATCAGAGATTACAAAGTTACAAATTTTGGTAAAGATTTAAGATATTCCTGTCTAATACATGTCAAACAATTGTACCCCTAAAACAGAAAATTTTCAGAGTACTGCTGAAGCAGAAACTCCTAGAAAACAAAAACTACAACTGCTCTTACTAAAATCAACAGTTCTGATCTTTACAGCCTGTTTGGATGGTTGTTACTTGTTGTATTGTATGGTATTGTTACTTTAAATACAATGTTTGTTTTGATTGTTACTTAAACTTTTTTTGTATCGTATCGTTAAATTCGTCATTACGTAACAACGAAAAAGTCACTTTATGGAACGACCGATTTGGTGTGGTCACGTCGTTTTCTTATTTTTTTCTCTCATCTTGTCCTTCCTTATTATTAAATAATCCTATTTAATCTTTTACCCTCCTTTTTATATAATAATTTTACCTTGTACCTTACCTTTTTTTTTTTTATAATATTACAAGTTTATTCTTCATATAATTGGTGCATGACATCATTAAATGACGACAAACAATACAATCTATCCAAATATTGTATACATCAAAACGATACAATACAATACAATACTATACGATACATAATAACCATTAGGGAAATTATAAACCAATTTCAAGGCAGTGATTTCTGATCAATCAACCTGAAGATTTAGTTCAAAAACTTCAACCATCATACCAAAGACTTCAATATCCTGCATACAACAAACAGGACAGATAAAGAACAGATAGTTACCTGCAAACTGCCGGTATTTCTTCAGGTTCAATATGACCAGTAACTATCATTGAAATATTCAATGTATCCCTCCAGTTTGCTGTCTTCGAATTGTATAAATGAAGATCAGTCTCATATCTAACTCTTCTTGTTGTTCGATCACGAGAATAACACTCTTTCTTTAATTCAACATCTTGTTCGTGAAAGTCACGAGTCCCATCGATCATTCCTTCCAAAACACTCGAGGGAACCCCATGATTTATCAGTTGGAAAAATCCCCACTTCTCTGACGCTTCTCTTATTTCATCAACAACTTTTTTACGTCGATCTTCAACTTCTATGCCACCGAGATCCACCACTGGAACTTTTAGAGTTGATTTGCACTGATTCAACTCCTCAGCAAGTTCATCACATGGCCTAATAAAAATTCTCGGAATTTCCAGAATTCCAGCATCGACTAGTCCTTTAACGCCAGCTTTTGTATCATCGAAAGCCTTTAACTCGTTCAATCGATCATAATCCATTATCAATTCAGCTTGAGACTCTTCAGTGCTGGACATATTTTGTTCTTAATTTCAAGTAGGCTAAGTTTCTTGAGCAAATAAGCTAGATAAAGTCAAACTAGTGCTCATAAATTCAATTGTACTTTCGTGAATCAACTTCAAAAGAGACATATATCTTTTTTAATTAGTCAATTTGAAGTAACAGTGGAGGGGTTTGAATCCTATCCAATAAGAGATCTCTCCATTTCCTCCAATTCTACTCCAAATGAGTTACACGTTAAATATTTAAATGTAGCAGATTCATCTAGTTAACCAATTGATATTAACTATGGTTACTATTTTCTCAACAACTGCTGCCCATCCTTGGGTGCAGAATCTCTCCTTAATGCTCTCAACCGCAATGTCTGAGCTAAGTTGGGTTTTTGACATGGGGATGAACAAAAAGAACGAAAATGAATGATACGTAACGAAAATTAACAATACATAAGGTATTAAGATTGTGTTCTTGACATTGATCCTATTTATTTGAAGATAAAAACAGGAAAAAGCAACATTGCTCTTAGCTAGTCCAGCAGTCAAAGGTAAAACATTATTGTAGAGCAAATCACAAACGTCGAAACTGCCTTGTAAAAATAATCATATATTTTCTGAAGTATTGCTATTGGAAACAGCCTCTCTACTTTCACAAAAGTAGGGGTAAGGTCTGCGTACACATTACCCTCCCCAAACCACACGATGTGGAGTAATACCGGGTATGTTGTTGTTGTTGCTTTACAGTCTGAAAAGGTCAAGAGTAGACTTACCAAGTGGCCTGGACATAAACTTAGCCATGTAATCACTTACTGTAAATTCTTTATAAAGAGGGGGATTTTCTTCTGATATGAGCTCTTTGATTGGACCATAGATCTTTGGAGTTCCAGAAACACCAGTGAAGAAGCACGCGACTGACATCCTCGGTCCTACCTTATTCGCTATAACTCTATGATTCACGCTCACAAACTTGTCATTTGATAAAATCTGTTACAAAATCAGATTGAAATAAGTGAGACAACTTTGCTTAATCTAAGATAAAAGAGACCACAATGTTGTGTATCAATACAAGGGGAGCCTTGGCGTAACTGGTAAAATTGCTGCCATATGACTAGGAGGTCACGGATTCAAGCTGTGGAAACAGTTACACAAAACAAACCTGAAGACTCTCGCCAATATTAACAGCCAGGCCTTGTGAAATTGGCTCAACATTGATCCATTGGTTTTCGTGCAGGACTTGAAGGCCACCAATTTGATCTTGAAGAAGAATGGTAAGGAAAGCAGTATCTGTATGTTTAGAAGCACCAAGAGTTAGCTCTGGCTGTGGACATGCCGGATAGTAATGGCATGCAAATGTTTTCCCTTCTGCACATTCCATGGCCTTTAAGTGGTCTGATTTTATCCGGAGTGCTTCCGATAGTATGCTGAATAGAGTTTCTCCTAACTGTGTGACATGATTTATATACTCAATGGATGTGCTCCTGGAATTAGGAGAAGATTCGCGGTCACTAAAAAATTACCAAAATGTGATAAAATTTAAGATGTAATCTAGCCTAACATGTCAAATAATTGTGCCATTTACTAAAGGACAGACGAATACTGTAAGATGGAGTAAAATTTCCTATATTCAAAGATTTCAGTATGCAGTATCAGTAATAAAGGGCAGCCCGATGCACTACGCTCCCGTTACGCGCGGGATTCGGGGAAGGGCCGGACCACAAGGGTCTATTGTATGCAGCCTTATCCTGCATTTCTGCAAGAGGCTGTTTCCACGGCTTGAACCCGTGCCTCTTCGTAACATACTAAATGAGGGCACGTCGACCGGAACATATCTAAAAATAATTCATAGGTTGCCCTGGTTTTGTTTTGCCATGTCCTCAATACGAACAACCAGCTCGTTCCAGACCAACCTTCACAGGATAAGCCCCATCTACGAACCCAATATTTTCGATGTTGAGTGTATACATATGTGTTGTCATGGGCGGCTTTCCAGCCATGTCCCATGACCCCTTGGGCGCGCCCCGTGGCGTCCTAGCGAACCTCCCAATGCCTAGCGCCACGGACGGCCCCGTGGTCTTGGCCGCGCCAAGTGACAAGCGCGCAGGTGCCTCTGTCGCCCCACCGATATCCCTCGCGAGCGCCAAGCCGCAGGCAGAAGCCAACAGCGCCGCGCGCGCAGACCGTGATGCCAAAGACACTGCTGCTGACAACGGACCTGCTGCTGCCTTATAGAAGACTAAGTCATTTTCATTGTAAATATAGAGTAGTTTTATTTCATGTACTTCCATTATGTTTCTCTAGCTTAATTAAGTCTACTCCTGTAACTTTGGATTATTTTTTTTAAGTACTATTAGGGGGGATCAAGCAATCAAAACTTTCTAACAAGCAAGCAATTCTCTGTACTGGTGTCTCTCCCCCTCGACACCGCGTTCCTTTTCTGTAATAGCTTTCATTAATGCAATCAAGCTTTCTTTCATTCTGAATTCTCATTTCTGTTCTCTCAATTGCTCTTGATATTGGTTTTCCCGTACGGCACTGACAATCTCGTCTAGCGTACGGAGGGGACCTCAGTTGGCGGACAGCAACTGCACTGACATCAGTTGCCTAGCCTTACGTCGCCCTTCCAAGGAATCTCAGGAAGGCGCCGCGTAACAGTTGGTATCAGAGCCTAGGCTCGACATCGGACGAGGGAACGTATTGACATACCACCATTTCTGACCATGGTGAATCATGGGGACCGCATTGCGGCCCTCGAAGGGACGGTTGAGGTATGGCGGCCTATTATGGATACGGTGCCTGAACTAAGAACCAGCCTACTGCAAAGGTTGGACGACCTGGACCGCAGGGTGCTTCAGGTCGAAGTTGACGTTGAAAACATCAGTCGCGACTCCGAGGGAGACCGGCAGACGGCAGCCACAGAGGCAGCCAAAATCTTTGAGAAATTCGAGGGGCTCCAACAGGAGCGCACCGAGGATTTAGCCCACAGGGCACAAGAGGCAGAAAAGGTGACTGCCATGCAACAAACCATTGACAAATTGACAGACCAACTCAATGTTGTCAACTCTGCTTTACAGGGCCTACTCCGAGGAGGTGGAAACCAAATCGGAGGTGCTGTGAACTCCGCTTCCGCGACAAAGAAGCTGAAAATTCCTGAGCCAAAGCCATACAGTGGAGTTAGGAATGCCAAGGAAGTGGAAAACTTCATCTTTGACGTCGAACAGTATTTTGATGCTGTTGGGGATCTGGAGGAAGCTAAAAAGGTAGCAACTGCTGCCATGTATCTTCAGGGTGATGCTAAACTTTGGTGGCGTGTGAAGTACGAAGCCATCAAGGTCGGTGAAGATGCTCTCGAGACATGGGCCGAATTGAAGGCAGCTATACGCCTGCAGTTCTTGCCCGAGAATGTTGAATATAATGCAAGGAGAAAACTACGGGAGCTCCGCCAGACAAAATTAGTGCGGGACTACGTGCGAGAATTCTCCGCACTCATGCTCAGCATACGCGACATGGGGGATAAGGACAAACTCTTCACCTTCATGGAAGGGTTGAAACCTTATGCCCGCGTGGAGCTACAGAGATAAAGGGTAGATTCCCTTCCCAAGGCAATACAAGCAGTTGAATGCCTTGGGGACTATCAAATGGAAACTCGAAGGGACAGGCCTCAGCCGCCTGCCCGAGCAGGGTTCAAAGGGGGCCAGCCCAGCAGTGGTGGTCCTAGCAAGAATGGGGGAGATCGGAACTCAAACAAATCTAGAGCTCCTTCCTCCGGCAGCAACAGTATTGCGTCAAACAACAATGATCGGGCAAGAAAGCCTCCTTCAGGATGCCGTCATTGCGGCGGTCCACATTGGAACAATGAGTGCCCACATGCACAGATGAATGCCCATCAGGCTATTGATGAGTGATGACGACTCAGACGATGCGGACCAGACTGAACCAGTAGGTGCCTTCAATGCAATTGTGGGTTCCATTTCTGAGGCACTAGCGGAGACCAGTGCTGGTATTCGTAAGAAGAAGGACTCATGTCCCGTCTCCAGGAAAGGGAAAAAGAAGGCGAATGAAGAGAGTCCTCTTAAACAAGAGAGGACCTTAATGTTCGTCGAGATGAAGGTGAATGGCAAGCCCATTCGGGCTATGATAGACACGGGTGCTACCCACAACTACTTAGCCTCGACTCAGGTGGAGCGCCTTGGACTAGTTGTAGGGAAAGGTAAAGGTAGCGTCAAGGCTATCAACTCACCTCCCCAGCCAGTGGGTAGAATAGCTAAAGAAGTACCGGTGAAGCTTGGGCCTTACGAAGGAAAATTCAACCTGCGAGTGGTGATCATAGATGACTTCGAGTTGATTGTTGGGCTGGAATTCCTAAGGCAAACCAACACCATGCCTGTACCATTTGCAGACATGCTACTGATGATGGGTACCAATAGGGCCAAGCCCTGCATTATCCCGTGCCTGCCCATGAAGATGGTTGTTGAGAACATCTCGGCCTTGCAGTTGAAGAAGGGGGTCAAAAGGAATGAACCTACGTTCCTGGCAACCCTCTGCATTGAAGATATAGAACGCTCCTCGGGTCCCATTCCTGAACCCGTGAAGGAGTTACTACTGGAGTTTGAAGATGTCATGCCACAAGACATGCCAAAGCGGCTCCCGCCTAGGCGCACTGTGGACCATGAAATTGACTTGGTGCCGGGCGCGAAGCCACCTGCCCGGGCGCCTTACAGAATGTCACAACCCGAACTCACCGAGCTTCGGAGACAATTGACGGAAATGCTAGATACAGGGATCATTGTACCCTCCAAGTCCCCATATGGGTCCCCTGTTCTATTCCAAAAGAAACATGATGGCAGCCTGCGACTCTGTGTGGATTATCGAGCTCTAAACAAAATCACCGTGAAGAACAAGTACCCTATTCCCCTAATGGCGGACTTGTTTGATAGACTGGGTGGTGCTACGGTGTTCACCAAGATAGATCTGAAGACAGGTTATTGGCAAGTTCGGATTGCAGAGGGTGATGAACACAAGACGACTTGTGTGACAAGATATGGGTCGTACGACTTCCTGGTCATGCCATTCGGCTTGACCAACGCCCCTGCTACGTTTTGCACTCTCATGAACCAAGTCTTCCGAGAGTACATCGACGAATTTGTGGTGGTCTACTTAGATGACATTGTGGTATATAGCCAGACATTGGAAGAACACCTAGTACACTTGCGGAAGGTCCTAGCTCGGTTGCGAGAACATGAACTATATGTAAAGTTATCCAAGTGCTCCTTTGCTCAGAAGCAAATTGATTTCCTCGGACATGTCATCGAGGAAGGATGCATCAAGATGGACCAACAGAAAATTCAGGCCATCACAGATTGGCCGCCACCTAAGGATGTCCACGTCTTGAGGGCGTTCCTTGGCCTATGCAACTTCTACCGGCGGTTTGTGAAGAACTACTCACTTATCGCAGTGACATTGACAGAACTCCTCAAAAAGGTCACACCATGGGATTGGGGACCAAGGAGAGCAGAGGCCTTCAACGCATTAAAAGCGGCTATGTCTAGTAGTCCCGTCTTGGCCCTTCCTGATTTGGCCAAGCCGTTCGAGGTACAAACAGATGCTTCTGACTATGCACTCGGCGGAGTCCTACTACAAGAAGGGCACCCTGTAGCGTACGAGAGTCGGAAGCTGAAGGATGCAGAGCGGCGCTATGCCGCCCATGAGAAAGAATTATTGGCTGTCGTCCACTGCTTGCGTCTCTGGAGGCACTATCTGCTGGGAACCCCGTTCGTGGTCAAGACAGACAACACAGCTGTTAGCCATTTCATGACCCAGCCGAAGCTGAACGGTCGACAGGCCAGGTGGCAGGAACTCCTAGCTGAATTCCACTTCAACTTGGAGTATCGCAGTGGAAAGACCAATCATGTTGCTGATGCGCTCAGTCGGAGAGCTGATCTAGCATCGGTGTGCCTACTCGCCACCCTAAGGGGGAGCGAAGTAGCCACATCCATCAAGGACCAAATACGGGATCTACTCATCAAGGATCCTGCTGCTCAGTATTTGGTTGATTTGGTAGGACAGGGCAAGACTCGCCAGTTCTACATGGAAGATGGTTTTCTGAAAGTAAAAGGGAACCGACTTTATGTTCCTAAAGGAGGAGATTTGCAGAGGACTCTTCTAGCGGAATGTCACGATACTCTGTGGGCCGGCCATCCTGGTGAAGAACGCACCATGGCGTTACTCGTCATGCCTATTATTGGCCTCAAATGGCCGATGATGTCGCTCAGTATGTGAAGACTTGCCTAGTATGCCAGAAGGACAAGTCGGACCGCTTGACACAAGCGGGACTCTTGGAACCACTCGCTGTCCCAAAGAGACCTTGGGAAAGCGTTTCCCTGGATTTCATCACCGGATTGCCCAAGGTCGGAGATCTCACAACCATCTTAGTTGTAATGGACCGGTTCTCTAAGTATGCCACCTTTACTGCAGCCCCACAATATATATCAGCAGAAGATACAGCTCGACTCTTCTTCCCTCATGTCGTCAAATATTGGGGCCTGCCCAAAGACATTGTTAGTGACCGCGACTCACGCTTCACTAGCAACTTTTGGACCCAACTCTTCAAGTGCCTTGGGTCAAAATTGAGTCACAGCTCAAGTTTTCATCCGCAATCTGATGGCCAGACGGAGCGGTTCAATGGTATGTTGGAGGAATATCTCCGCCACTTTGTAACCGGATCGCAGAAGAATTGGGTGAAGCTTCTGGATGTTGCTCAACTGTGTTTCAATTCACAAAAGAGCTCTAGTACCAACAAAAGCGCTTTTGAAATTGTTACCGGATAGCAACCGCTACTCCCACACACTGTGAATGCACCAAACATGGCTAAATCTCCTCGAGCTGCCAGCTTCTCAAAAGAGTGGAGGCGGAATTTGGAGATAGTGCGGAGCTACCTTGTCAAAGCCCAAAAGCGGATGAAGAGGCATGCTGATCAGAATCGTCGCTTTGTTGAATATCAAGTAGGAGACAAAGTGATGGTCAAAATTCCAAAGCGGTACTTATTTGCAGGGGTCCATGACCCTCGCCTATTGCAAAAATACATTGGACCCTTGTCCATTGAAAAGCGTATTGGGAAGGTTGCATACCGGGTAGATACCCCAGCTTGGTGGAAAATTCATCCTGTCTTCCATGTCAGTCTCCTGAAACCTTTTCGGGAAGACACGGAGGATCCTTCAAGGAGCCAGCTCACAATACCCAGTATTCGAGGTCCCAATTCAACCGGGAAAAGGCGTGTTGAAGCTATCCTTGATGACAGAGTGATTCATGCCTCAAGGAAAGATCACCAAGAATTTTTGGTGAAATGGCAGGACTGTGATGCAGAAGAGAATACTTGGGAGAGGGGAACAAACCTCAAAGCCTACAAGAGCCTCATTGAAGATTATTTTGCAAGTAAAGCGCCGAGGACGTCGCCAACTCAGGTGGGGGAGAATGTCATGGGCGGCTTTCTAGCCATGCCCCATGACCCCTTGGGCGCGCCCCGTGGCGTCCTAGCGAACCTCCCAATGCCTAGCGCCACGGACGGCCCCGTGGTCTTGGCCGCGCCAAGTGACAAGCGCGCAGGTGCCTCTGTCGCCCCACCGATATCCCTCGCGAGCGCCAAGCCGCAGGCAGAAGCCAACAGTGCCACGCGCGCAGACCGTGATGCCAAAGGCACTGCTGCTGACAACGGACCTGCTGCTGCCTTATAGAAGACTAAGTCATTTTCATTGTAAATATAGAGTAGCTTTATTTCATGTACTTCCATTATGTTTCTCTAGCTTAATTAAGTCTACTCCTGTAACTTTGGATTATTTTTTTTAAGTACTATTAGGGGGGATCAAGCAATCAAAACTTTCTAGCAAGCAAGCAATTCTCTGTACTGGTGTCTCTCCCCCTCGACACCGCGTTGCTTTTCTGTAATAGCTTTCATTAATGCAATCAAGCTTTCTTTCATTCTGAATTCTCATTTCTGTTCTCTCAATTGCTCTTGATATTGGTTTTCCCGTACGGCACTGACAATCTCGTCTAGCGTACGGAGGGGACCTCAGTTGGCGGACAGCAACTACACTGACATCAGTTGCCTAGCCTTACGTCGCCCTTCCAAGGAATCTCAGGAAGGCGCCGCATAACAGTGTGTGTGTGTTAAACGATCACACAGAATTAACCAGAGCGTTGGAATCAAGCCCCGGGAATGAAATCGCCTTTGATAGGCCCCATCTACGAATCCAATATTTTCGATGCTGAGTGCATATATAAATGTAAAATTCACACCGGAGTGTTGGGATCAAGCCCTGGGAATAGAAACGCCTTTGATAGGGGCGCTTTATCCCGAAAAGCAAGACTTTCTGGTGCAAATCCGGATTTGCGGGGCCCAAAGAGGGGACCAGAGACCGGGTGTGCAACCAAAAAATCTACAAGAAATAAACATTGACCATTGTCTATCACCATACCGGTGATCATAGGAGTTAAGACTTCATCATCCAAGGAATTAAAAAGAAATAGAGATACTTACCTGCAAACTGCTGGTATTTGTTCAGGTTCAATATTACTAGAAACTAGCATAGAAATGTTCAGTGTATCCCTCCAGTTTGCAGTCTTTGATTGGTAAAGATCATAGTTGCTCTCATATCTAACTCTTCTCGTATGATCACGCGTATAGTACTCTTTCTTTAACTCAACATCTTGTTCATGAAATCTACGAATCCCATCAATCATTCCTTCCAAAACACAAGAAGGAACCCTATGATTTATCAGTTGGAAAAATCCCCACTTTTCTGATGCTTCCCTTATTTCATCAACAATCTTCTTACGTCGATCTTCAACTTCTATGCCACTTAGATCCACAACTGGAATCTTTAGAGTTGACTTACACTGATTCAACTCTTCAACAAGTTCATCAGCTGGCCTAATGAACATTCTTGGTATGTTCACAGTTCCAGAATCAACTAGTCCTTTAACACCAGCTTTTGTATCATCGAAATCGTTTATTTCCTTCAATCGATCATAATCCATTGTCAGTTCAGCTTGTGAATCTTCAGTGCCAGACATATTTGTTCTTAGTTTCAAGAATCTTAAGTTTCTTGAGCAGAAAAGTTAGTTAAAGTCAAACTAGTCCTCAAAAATGCAATGGTCCACTGTGAACCAATATTAAAAAGAAACACATTATTTTATTAGTTTGAAGTTAAGACAGTGCAGATCTCGAGTAGAGCTTTTGTCCTAGAATTCTGTAGAACAAGTTAGGTGGGATGAACCGATTAAATGAATTATCTATGAGGCAAAGATCACTTTTAGTCCGCGGCTGAAATTATTTATATTCGATAGTCGTAAAAATGTATAAAATTTGTACAGTTTTTGTATATAACATACAGAAAAAAAATATACAAAAAATATGTATTTTTTCGGCTATTATTTTTAGAGTGATTACACAGTGTTATTATCGGAAAAAAGTAAAATAACATAAGTTAGTTTTTGCTATACACATATAGAAGAAAAGGAAACACATATTAATGGACAAAATTGTCCAATTTAGCTTACAAAATGGTTTCGTCACAGCAAAAAATAAGAAAAGGTAGGTTTGTGTAATATTCGAAACCGCTGGGTAGACATGTACACCAACAAAAACCTCAGGGGATGTTTGTGAAATTTTTCCTAAAAAATTATTACTAAATGATTAAAAGTTTAAGACTTGCACTGTACAATCGCATGCACATTGAAGTCAGTGGCGGATCTGCATGTTATTTTTGGTTGTTCAAGCACCCATTATCTTTGATAAAATTTAGTAAATTTGTATAGGTAATTATTAAAATATTTAGATAAATATCAAGTGAGCACCCATAATTAAACTCCTTTTTCCTCTTTTTTCCGAATTTTTATCAGTGAGCACCACGACTTTAAAATTCTGAATCCGCCATTGAAGTCTGGTTAATTATAGCTCAAAATTGTAAAGGGTTGAGCTTGAGCACGTGCAAATTGAAGTAGTAGGGCTACTTTTCATAGACAGTAGGTGCAACTGATTTAAAATTATTAATCACCAAAGAACCAACAAAAAGTACATTTATTAAAAGATATTCTAAATATTAACATAATATGACACATCACAAGTTGGGGAAAAATTTTATTTTGTGCCTCACAACTGACAATAGTTGTGTGAGGCCTCTTTTTTGTCTCTGTGGTCCCATAATTTTGAGGACCCAGATGTGTAAGAGATGAGTCCACAAATATGTGAGATAAAAAGAAGTCTCACTCAACTAGTGTAAGTTGTGTGAAACACAAAATAAAATCACTCCAAGTTCTACAATTGGTTGGAAACTGAGAAGATAAGGGCACATCTTTCGAGCTGGACTGGATTTGAAAAGTGTGGTTTTTCAAGAAGATGGATGTTATGTATCGTTTTATAAAATTGTATTGTATTGCATTATATTATATTGTATTAATTTTATGTATACATTGTTTGGATAGATTGTATTGTTTATCGTCGTTTCATGATGTCATGCACCATTAATATGAAAAATAAATATGCAATATTATAAAGAAAAAGTAAGGTACGAGGTAGAATTATTATATAAAAAGGTAGGGTGAATGATAAGATAAGATTATTTAATAATAAGGAAGGACAAGATGAAAGAAAAAAACAACACGACCACACCAATCGGTTGTTAGATATATAGTGGTACTTTTCCTCGTTAAGTAATGACGGATTTAACGATACAATATAATATAAGTAACAATCAAAACAAAGATTGTAAAGTAACAATCCAATACGACACAATAGGTAACAACCATCCAAACAAGCTGTTAGGGCACAAAACCACAGCCACACTGAGTAATTAAAACACCAGGAAGATGATAAAACATTTCTGCAGCAAATCGTGTCACTCTTTCTGTGATTTGAAATGTGACAATAAAGAAGTTCCATCTAGCCCTTTGTTGTATAGATAAGTGACATACTCTTTTCTGCTTGTTTCTCGGTATATTGGAGGGTTTTCCTCTGATAACAACTCCATGATTGGACCATATAATCTTGATTCACTTCCTTCTTGAAAATGCATTCTGAAAAAACTTGCCACTGAAATTCTTGGTCCTACATTTTTCGCAAGCACTCTGTGAAGAACGCTTCTGAACTTATCGTTTGTGATCAGCTACAAAACAAAACAGAAACTAGTGAATTAATTGATCATGTTTGTAACATTTATAACTAGATAAAAGAATTTTTTTACCAATGAGAACTTGCCTGCATTAAGTCTCCAATGTTCACAATTAGAGCTCCAGGCATGAAAGCAACATCAACCCATTGATTTTTATGAAAAACTTGCAGTCCGCCAATTTGATCCTGTAATACAATAGTCAAGAAGCCGCTATCTGTGTGACCGCTAAGGCCTAAAGTGAAATCTGGTTCAGGACATGCCGGATAATAATGGCCAACTACGAGTAGCCCCTCCGCGCATTCTATGTCTTTCAAGTGATTCGGGTTGAGTCCTAGAGCTTCAGAGAGTAGCTCATATAGAGTAAGCCCCAGTTTCATCACGTGCTCCGCGTATTTGATCAAAACATCTCTGTAAATTCAACATATATGTTCATAGAAACTAGATGCAACTTCTATTAATGGTGCATATTAGAAGAAAGAATATCTTATGTCAAATTAGTGCTAGAATAATAAATTAGAGACTTAAGCTAAATGCAACATGAGCATGATAATAGTGAAGCATATCAAAACTACCCAGTATAGTCGCTCTTAAAAATAATAGCCAGCAAAATGTATGTATATATATAAATATTTTATATATAATCAGTGTATGTTTTTTGTATATTGGCTAGCGGATGTAATTAATTTTGGTCGACTGACCAAATGTGTAACTTGCCCTAGTTATTATCAGCTAGAGCAGCCTAAGCAAAACAACAATACTAATAGTAAGCATGATATGTACCTGCAAACCTCTGGAATTTCTTCGGGGCGAGGAGGATTAGGAGCCATGACACAGTAAAAGCTGTCTCTCCAGTTAGCTGTTTTTGCTTTGTGTAGATCAAAATTAGTATTATAGGTGAACTTCCTCGTAACATCACGAGAGTAGAACTCTTTCTTCACCTCAGAATCCTGCTCGTGAAAATGGCGAACGCCTTCTAGTACTTTCTCCATAACACTTGATGGGATTTCATGGTTGACAATTTGAAAAAATCCCCAGTTTTCACAAGCATCCTTTATTTCTCGGACAATATCAGCTCGTTGAGCTGCACTTTTGCCCGAGTCTCCTAAATCTATGACTGGAAGGCTAAACTTAGTAGCTGCATCGGAATCTAATTTGTTTTCAATCACAGGCTGGTTGTGCAAGAATATACGCGGTATCTTTGTGACACCAGCATCCAGAAGTCCCTTTACACCAACCTTTGAATCATCAAAGGCTTGAACTTCACTTTTCCTATCATATTCAGAACTATCATTTTGATCAGTTCTACCATTATTTGAGCCAAACATCTTTCTTTCTTTAGAGGAAAACTCAACTCTTGACTATATATTGAAACAAGATTTCTAATTGAACGTTGAGGATATTGTACAGATTCTTATGACACAGTTAATATTTTTCTATAGCTTTTCTGTAATCAGATTCCATCAGAATGCAAAACAAAGAAGTTCCAGGACAAGATTAGGTATACATACACCTAATACTAATGTGTCCAAACTTGGTATCTTTTAATTAATTTCATGATTTTGGAACTATCTGAACTATGTTATGTCATATATTGAAGAGGATTTAGTACTTGTTATCTAATTGCAGGGGACAACGAGGAAATATAAAAAAGGAGATTAAGGGCGTGTTTGGTAGGAAGGAAAATATTTTTCGGAAAAATATTTTTCAATTTTCCTATGTTTGGTTGGCTTAAATATTTTGGAAAACATTTTCCTTATCAACTCATTTTCCTCCAATTCGAGGAAAATATTTTCCTTATCAAGTGAAGGGAAAACATTTTCCAAAACTCCTTCTCAACCTTTCCCATCCTATTCCTCCCTCACCAACCCACCCTCCCACCTCCTCCCTCCAAAAAGGATATTTTTTTTAAATTTCAGTTTTTTTCCGTCACCAC